TAAACCAAAAGACCCAGTAGCACAGGAAGAAAAAACAGGAGTCGTCTACAATATACAGTGCAAGGACTGCAACAAACACTATGTAGGACAGACAGGCAGAAGACTGGCAGAGCACATCCATGAACACCAACACCAGCAGTCAGAAAACTCCTTAATCTCACAACACATGGACAGATATAATCATAATTTTAATTGGGAAACTGTCAGCATTTTAGACCAAGCAAAATCCAAAAATCCGAGGGAATTCTTGGAAGATTGGTGTTCAGACAAGGCAGCAATTAACAGACACATAGAGATAAACAGCATCTACACATTATTCAAAAAAGGCAAAAGACCAGAACAGCTCCTCACCAGCAATTATCACCAAGATAAGCAGAGGTTACCACAGGGCTCACAAGCAAGCAGCAAACAATACTCTAATCATGGAACTACCAGAGGAACAAAACAAAAACCCCACCCCCACCAACACTGGTAGGGCATGCAAGAGTATATAAACAGAGAGCAAACACCATCCCATATTAGCACTGACGATGTTACCTAGCCGGGTAATGAAACGTTTGCAGGAAAAGAACCAAGTTCAGAGAACCCCAAGGACTCCACAGTTCAAGCTACACATATTCACCTCCATTGATAAATGCCTGTGTTTTAAAAAACAGCCTGTCTCTCTGCTGTTTGGCACTCCATCACTGACAGATCAGTCAACTGCATTACAGGACATTTTCAGGGTTTCTGGCAGCTGAAGGGATAGTCAAAATAAAATCTACTTCACTAGGACAATTGTGGATCTGTTCTGAATCCATCTAAAAACCTGTGCCCATGCAAGGCAGTAGTATGCCATGGTTCACTGAACAACCCAGAGCCATTGTTGCAGGTAATTGTAGCTTGTTCAGATAATCCTTGCTTTTTCTCCCCATGGCTTATTTCTATACCCAAATGAGGCATGGAGCCATTGCGTAATTTGGAATCTATTTAATCTGAATAATTTAACACAGTCCATATAGATGTGCATCTAAATTACTTTCATTTTATCACTGTCTATCCTGCACATTTTAAAAAAAATGCCTGATATTTTAAATAAAATATGAGGAAGGATACTATGTTCTAACTGTTTCCAGGCAGCATGGAGGAGTGGGAGAGATAAAGCAGAAACTCACACTATGACACCAACCTCTCCAGAGTTTATCAGTCTCTCTGAGCCATCTGGAAATGTTTCAATTACTTCATCAAAAGCAAGACCCAATTTTTTAGCAACTTCAGCATCATCAGGACTAATGCAAGGGATTCCTGGAAAGAGAAAATAAAGAAAAATCTTTCTTAAACAGATTTTCAACATGATTTCCACCTTTGTGTGTGTGTGTACACAAGCAGCTTTCCTGTTAAGAGTTTGTTTGTTTGTTTATTTATTTCTCAAATTTGTCACCGCTCATCTCGTTAAACGACTCTGGGCGGTTTACAAAACAATTATCAGATGATAGTAATTGTACATTCCTGTGGCTATTTCTATTCTCCTGAAATCATTATTCTCTATTTCTTTC